ACAAAAAACATAAACAACAACATAAATAAAAATAACACCATAAAAATAATAGACAATAATAACAAAAATTAATAAACAAGAATATAAAAAACATAAACAATAAAAATAAATAAAATAATAAACAAGAATAACAAAAAACACAATAAAATAAATAAAAATAACACGATAAATATAATAAACAAGAATAAAAAACACAAACAATAAAATAAATAAAAATATCACCATGAAAATAATGAATAAGAATAACAAAAATAAACAATAAAATAAATAAAAATAACAAAAATAAACAATAACATAAATAAACACCATAAATATAATAAACAAGAATAACAAAAAAGAATAAAATAATGAAAATAACACCATAAAAATAATAAGTAAGAATAACAAAAATAAATAAGCAATAAAATAAATAAAAACAACACCATGAAAAAATAAGAATAACAAAAATATAAACAATCAAATAAATAAAAATAACACCATAAAATAATAGACGAGAATAACAAAAGAAAACATAAGCAATAAAATAACTAAAAATAAAACCATAAATATAATAAACAAGTATAACAAAAAACATAAACAATGAAATAAATAAAAATAACACCATAAAATAATAGACAAGAATAACAAAAGAAAACATAAACAATAAAATAACTAAAAATAAAACCATAAAATAATAAACAATAACAAAAACAATAAAACAAATAAAAATAATACCATAAAATAACAAAAAACATAAACAGTAAAATAAAAACACCATAAAATAATAAATGAGAATAACAAAAAATCAACAATAAAATAAATAAAATAACACCATAAATATAATAAACAAGAATAACAAAAAAGAATAAAATAAATAAAATAACATCATAAAAATAATAAACAAGGATAAAAAACATAAACAATAAAATAAATAAAAATAACATCATAAACGTAATATAAACAAGAACAAAAACATAAACAATAAAATTAATAAAATTAATAAACAAAAACAAAAAACCAATAAAATAAATAAAAATAACATCATAAATGTAATATAAACAAGAGTAACCAAAAATGTAAACAATAACATAAATAAAAATAACACCATAAAAATAATAAAGAATAACAAAAGAAAATATAAGCCATAAAATAAATAAAAATAACAAACAAGAATAACAAAAATAAACAATAGAATAAATAAAAATACCACCATAAATGTAATAAACAAGAATAACAAAAAACATAAACAATAAAATAAAAACAACACACAAGAATATCAAAAAACATAAAAGATAAAATAAATAAAAATAATAAACAAGAAAAACAAAAAAATAAACAATAAAGTAAAAAATAACATCATAAATGTAATAAATAAGAATAACAAAAAACATAAACAATAACACCATAAAAATAATAGACAAGAATAACAAAAGAAAACATAAACAATAAAATAAATAAAAATAATAAACAAGAATAACAAAAAGCATAAACAATGTAATAAATAAAAACACCATAAAATAATAACCAAGAATAACAAAAAAACAATAAGATAAATAAAAATAACACCATAAAAGTAATAAACAAGAATAGCAAAAAACATAAACAATAACCTAAATAAAAATAACACCATAAAAATAATAAAACTGGTTTGGGGGAAACTGACCTTCATTTATAGGAGTTGTAGTTCACCTACATCCAGAGAGCACTGTGAACGCAACCAACCATGAATCTGGACCAAACTTGCCATGGAGGATGGGATTTGTAGTACCTTCACTTCCAGAGACCACTGCAAAGGGGGGACCTGGACCACACTTGGCACATAGATCCCGCCATGACCCACTACGCATCCTGGTATGTTTTGGGGGAGGATGTACCACAGATGATGGAATTTGCAGTACCTTCATCCCCTTTGGCTCCAACTTCCACAGACCACTGCGACCCACACAAATGACGGACCTGGACCAAATTTGGCACACAGACTCCCCATGACCAACAAAACATACTAGGGGGATTTGGGGACAATTGGCCTTGACATTTGGGAATTGTAGGTTCTAGGATGTATAGTTCACTAGCAATCAAAGAGCACTCTGATCCCCACCAATGATGGGCATGGACCTAATGTATTAATAAATAGCAGCCCAGCAAAGTTTGGCTAAAAGGTAATTATTAGGCCTGGTCAATCCATGGTTCTAAATGGTTCTAAAGTACTTTCAAAACTAAAGTTCTGGTGGTGAAAACTAGGGGGCGCTGGTGCTTTGCTTCTATAGTGTTACTAAAGTTCTGGTGGTGAAAATTTCAGAACTCTAACAAAACTCTCAAAATTTCATTCTAAATTGCAGTTCCTAATTGGTTCTATCATAAAAATCACCAATAATGAAATAATAATTAAATTTTGAAAGTTTTGATAGAGTTCTGAAATTTTCACCACCCGGACTTTAGTTTTGTAAGTACTTTAGAACCATTTAGAACCATGGATTGACCAGGCCTAGTAATTATTATTGTTTTGGGGAGGAAAAAAATCTGTATGTAAAAATAGTGTAGACCAGCGGTTCTCAACCTGGGGGTCGCGACCCCCCAAGGGGTCACCTGGCCATTTCAGAGGGGTCGTGAGGTTGCCTCCTTTGGCCCCGCCCCCTCTGACTCCCAAAATAGCGGTCACTATAACATGGAACTGTATTTAGGGGTCATGGCTTTAGAAAGGTTGAGAACCACTAGGGTAGACTCAGATAATCTGTTTCAAAGCAGATAATTTGGATTATTTGCTCCTGTGATCAGCTGGACCTTCCTTCAAGGCTTGAAGGCAGGAAAAAAACACTATAAAGGTGTGAAACACAAAGGAAACATTTGCAAAATGATGGTAAATGAGCCGCCTCATATCTCTGGACTCTTCCTTCCTAGCATCACAATGAATGTGAGATCTTACTTCTGAATAAGGACACAGATCATATCAGTAGAAGGGGAAATCATCTTTAATATACGTATAATGGCCCAGTCTTCTAAAACCGGCCATAAAATAGATGTCTTCATCTGCTGGAACGGAGTTCGGCATATTCAGTCTGGAAGAGAAGGCCAAAGATCACTAGGATTGTTTGATCCCCTAGGCTCCCTTCCACACAGCTGTATAAATTCCACCTTGAACTGGATTTTCTATATATTATTAGCCACTCTGAGTCCCCTTCGACGGCATATAAATGTCGCAAATAAATAAATAAATAAATAGCTTGCTTGAGGCAAGTGTGAATGTTGCCATTGGCCACCTTGATTAGCATTGAATGGCCTTGCAGCTTCAAAGCCTGGCTGATTGCTGCCTGGGGGGCTCACACACTGATTTACATTTTTAAACCCTACAAAATGGAACTCACCTTCAGGGTGAAGAGGGCAGCATATACATGCCGTAAATAATTGAATAAATACATAAATAAACA